TGGTACAGTTGGGGAAAGGAGCAAGTCAAACAGTCAGGGCAGGCAGAAACAAAGCAGACAGTGAGGTAGTACTGATAAATTAACTGCGTTTATTTGAATGCAAGAGGCCTAACACGTTAGGCAGATGAACTCAGGGCATGGTTAGGAACGTGGGACTGGGATATCATAGCAATTACAGAGATGTGGCACAGGAATGGACAGGTCTGGCAGCTTAATATTCCTGGGTACAGATGCTATAGGAAGGATTGAAAGGTGGGGGATAAGAGAGGAGGGCGAGTGTTGTTTTGTATTAGGGCTAACATTATGACTGTACTTAGGGAGGATATTCCTGGGGCGATATTTGGGTGGAACTGAGAAATAAGAAAGGGATCATCACCTTATTGGGAATGTACTATAGACACGACCCACAGCACCTCCCCCTCCCCCCACCCCCCCACACCTTCCCCAGTTGAGAAACAATTTTGCACAGAGATCTCAGTTATCTGTGCGAATATTAGTGTGGTTATGGTAGGGGATTTTAACTTTCCAAACATAGACTGGGACTGCCATAGTGCTAAGGGTTTGGATGGAGATTAATTTGTTAAGTGTGTACAAGGAAATCTTCTGACTCAGTATGTGGATGTACCTATTAGAGAAGGTGCAAAACCTGTCCTATTCTTGGGAAATATGGCAGGGCAGGTGACTGAGGTGTCAGTAGGGGAGCAGTTTGGGGCCAGCAACCATAATTCTATTAGTTTTAAAATTGTGATGGAAAAGGATCGACCTGATCCAAACGTTAAACTTCTAAATTAGAGGAAGGCCAATTTTAATGTTATTAGGCAAGAACTTTCAAAAGTTGATTGGGGACGGATGTTTGCAGCTAAAGGGGTGGCTGGAAAATGGGAAGCATTCAAAAATGAGATTACGAGATTTCAGAGACGCTATGTTCCTGTTTTGGTGAAAGGCAAAGCTGGTAGGTGTAGGGAATACTGGATGATTGGGAAATTGAGGTGTCAGTCAAGAAAAAGAAGGAAGCATATGTCAGGTTTAGACAACAGAGATCGAGTGAATCCTTAGAAGAGTAAAAAGGCAGTAGGAGTATACTTAAGAGGGAAATCAGGAGGGCAAAAAGGGAACTTGAGATAGCTTTGGCAAATAATGTTAAGGAGAATCAAAGGGGATTTTGTAAGTACATTAAGGACATAAGGGTAATCAGGGAGAGACGGTGGCTCAGTGGTTAGCACTGCTGTCTCAGCGCCAGCGACCTGGGTTCGATTCCAGCCTCGGGCGACTGCCTATGTGGAGTTTGCACATTCTCCCTGTGTCTGCGTGGGTTCCCTCCGGGTGCTCCTGTTTCCTTCCACAGTCTAAAGATGTGCACGGTAGGTGGATTGGCAATGCTAAATTGCCCATAGTGTCCAGGGATGGTTAGGTTAGGTGGGTTAGACAAGGGGAATGGGTCTGGGTGGGATACTCTTCAGAGGGTCAGAGTGGACTTGTTGGGCTGAAGGGCCTATTTCCACACTGTAGGGATCCTATCATTGGTGCTGGGTCCACTGCTTTTCGTCATTTATATAAACAATTTGGATGTGAACATATGGTTAGTAAGTTTACTGATGACACGAAAATTGGAGGTGTAGTGGACATCGAAGAAGGTTATCTCTGAGTACAATGGGACCTTGATCAGATGGGCCAATGGGCTGAGGAGTGGCAGATGGAGTTTCATTTAGATAAACGTGAAGTGCTGCATTTTGGAATTGCATATCAGGGCAGGACTTATATACTTAATGGCAAGGTCCTGGGGAGTGTCGCTGAACAAAGAAACCCTGGAGAGCAGGTACATAGTTCCTTGAAAGTGGAGTCGTGTGTCAATAGGATAGTGAAGAAGGCATTTGGTATGCTTTCCTTTATTGGTCAGTGCATGGAGTACAGGACATTAGTTAGGCCATTTTTGGAATACTATGTGCAATTCTGGTCTCCCTGCTCTAGGAAGCATTTTGTGAAACTTGAAAGGGTTCAGAAAAGAATTACAAAGATGTTGCCAGGGTTGGAGGGTTTGAGCCATAGGGACAGGCTGAATAGACTGGAGCTATTTTCCCTGGAATATCAAAGGCTGAGGGGTAACCTTGTAGAGGTTTATAAAATCATGAGGGGCATGTATTGGGTAAATAGACAAGGTCTTTTCCCTGGGGTAGGGGATCCAAAACTATAGTGCATAGGTTTAAAATGAGAGGGGAAAATTTAAAAAGGGACCTAAGGGGCAACTTTTTCACACTCAGGGTGGTACGCGTTCAGAATGATTTACCAGAGGAAGTGGTGGAGGCTGGTACAATTACAGCATTTAAAAGGCATCGGCATGGATATATGAATAGGAGGGGTTTAGCGGAATATGGGACAAATGTTGGCAAATGGAACTAAATTAATCCGGGATATCTGGTTGGCATGGATGAGTCGGACCAAAGGGTCTGTTTCCGTGCTGTACATCTCTATGACTGTACGTTCCTCGTACATCTTTGCATTCAATTTCGTTTGCTACCTATCTACCCACTTCAACAGTTTACAATGCTTCCAAAGTTAAGCAAACTTTGAATTTGTCCCCTGTACACCAAGGTCTAGACAAATATTGAGAAAATCAAGCATCATCAACTGGAAAAATCTAGTACAAACCTTCCTCCAGCCCAAAACAACATCCATTAATCATTACTTGGTTTCCGACCCATGTGCAAATTATTGGTATATGCAGTTTTGTAGTTGTTTACAAAAGTGGTTAGCACTGCTGTCTCACTGCCAGGGACCTGGGTTCGATTTGGTCTTGGGTGACTGTCTGTGTGGAGTTTGCATGTTCTCCCTGTGTCTGTATTGGTTTCCACCAGGTGCTCTAGTTTCCTCCCATAGTCCTAAAATGTGTAGATTAGGTGGATTGGCCATGCTAAATTGCCCCAAAGTGTCCAGGGATGTGCAGGCTAGGTGGATTGGCCATGGTAAATGCAGGGTTATGGGGAGTGGCTTGGAATAGGCATTGGGGACTGGGTGTGATGCTTTTTGGGGGGGTCAATGCAACACAATGGGCCAAATGGTGTCTATCTGCTCTACAGGAATTCTATGAAAACTGCAGAATGTTCAATAAATAAATTGAAATTAGATATAAACAATTCCTACTGAAATTTCAGTTAATTCCAGATTGGACCTATTTCCTTTTTTATGTTAATCTTAATCTGTGATTGGGATGTTATTATTAATGCTACTTCCCTTAACTCCCAAAAACAAGATCCTGCAGCCCATCAGTAGGGATGCATTGATTGTCAAGAATACTTCAGGTTTGAAACCCACAAGTCCCACTCAAAAGCACATTCAGTTGCAGCACAGATATCCGCTGTAACCAGCAAATTCTCATGGTACACATGTAGTTGTGGCTATCAAGTGACAGCAGGACCAGAATTCAGCATGAAACCAGCTCCACTAACCAATTTTTTCACCCCACATGTCAAAACTACCTACACTCACAATCTGAGATCACATAAAAACATCCAAGTGAGAGATGTAGTGAAAGACAGTCAGAATTTATGGACTGAATCCAGCAGACAGGTCAGAAGTGGGGAGAAAAACCCTGCTTGTCAAATTCTGTTTGATAAGTATTTTCACAACTACTCTGACAAACAACTTTGAGAATGGAATTTATAGAGCCTGCACTGAATGTTGTGATGCAGAATCTCTTTTAAGCAATACCTTAACAACATCTCAGACTATTTTAAACTTACCTGGCTGGAAGGAAGTCGAGGAGACAATGTTGACTATTCCTTTCAGATGGACTGTAATTTTGCTGTTTATAGAGAGTAAAATCAGATGGGGACATAAAAAGGGACAGTGAACCTAATCCAATTTCCCACTTGGTAGGTTTGGTTAAAATTACCCCCCAAGGCCCAATAATAATAGGCCTTTATAACTAGCTTTTGTGAGCAATTATAAACATACTTTTAGGGTTACTAATAGCCTGGATTTTTTTCTTCTAACATAATCTCCACTTGGCAGAAGGAGAGTTTGTTTTGGGATTAGGGGAGTGTCCAGGTCAGCACCGTGGTCAATGGAAGTTATTCATTTAGTGATATACATATAGATGTACAAACATACTCTGTGTACATACTCCAGCACTTGTTGAATATTTTGGCATCGTGGGTAACAGGCTGCTTAATACTTTTTGTTATTCAAGATGTATATGAAACATATATTATTTTAATATCAGTTACAGCAGAAAAAACACCAAGAAACAATGTTGGAGGTATAAAAATGTTTAGTTAAAATTGATTAGCATTAATGCCTTTTGAATGCAAGGTCATAGAGTAGTTTGAGAATTTTTATTAGAACAGAGAAGGTCAATAGGAAAATCAAATAAGTTTTCAAAATTCTGAATGGCTTGGAGATGATAAACAGTGAAACAGTTTCCATTGATGGCTGCATCGGTAGTAAAGGGGAATAGATTAAGGATATTTAATATAGGGGAGAAATTTGAAAAATATTTTACAGAGTGGATTTTTCACATAATTCGTCAACAAACTAGTTTTTTTTCCTACAAATGGCTGTTAAGGCACAGCCTACAAGATACAGGTTGAGTATTTATTTGGGATGAAATGCTACAAAACAATAAAAGTCACCATAGTCTTGTCAGACCATTGAGCTGCTCATTCATGAGAGAGAGAGACAACTGGTGATAATTTAATCTGGGGGCCACCACGTCTCTGGTGAGTGGAGAGGTCGAGAAAGAACATCCTTCTTGGTAACTTCAGCCAAAGTAGGAACCAAGCCCATGTTATTAGCGTCAGTCTGCATTGCAAACTAGCCATCCAACCAACTGAGCTAACCAACCCACTTAGAAAGTAACACACAATGTGGTTGCAAGAGGTATTACTGTTAAAAAGCCAGCATCAGGGATATAGATGATTAGCCATTGGTGTTGAATCCTTTAATCATATTTAATTATGCTATTAAATGCACATTTTAATTTTTTGTTGAAAAACAAAGTGTTCTTAAAATTTCATTTTATTTCAAATTCACTTTCTTCACAGCTCACTACCAAAGGTATAATTTCTGAGGCATGAGACCAGATGGTCTAATGTTCAATCCCTGTGTTGGTCTGAATTAGATCTTTCCCAGGACGATAGTTGGAACTCGAAACTTAGCTGCAGTAGTCCTTCTATTAGGCAATGGAAAAATCAGCCAATATTCCCAATCCTGACCATTATCAGCATGTGCCTGTCAGTGAGATGATGATGTTATATTTTGTGATATTCTCATGTTAATGTGACTTCCAACACATGCCAAATTCCACACATGAAAAATGGCTAATTGAAAGAGCACCAGATGTCGATTGCCAGGAAGCAAGAGTATTACATTTTAGAACATGTACAGATTTTTAACAAACCCAAATATGCTGGTAGTGTTTAGTCTCATTGGAGTAGACTTTCACAGTAGTGGAGTAGGCTTCTGATGCTAAAGTTTCGAAGAATTTTCTTTACATATAGGCAGCTGTTAGGACTTGGAATCATCTCTTGGAAGTAGAGGTCCAATCAAACTCTGAAACAATGCAAGGAAAGAGCAAGGACTAGGGACTAAATGGATAATGATTTTGAGAGTTAAGGCTGGTACAATGGGTTGAGCAGTGTATGGTCTTCCTCAGAACTGTGTAACATGTATGATTCCCAACACCGCCCACACCTCCCCCACCATCCCCCACCGCCTCCATTCGCATCCCCTACCCAGTCAAAAGGAACTAAAACCAATTTCAATGAGCAGCCAAAAATCAGTTCACTAAGCACAGCTTGGGGATTAAATCCGTTTGGTTTGCATAAGCTTCTGACGTACATAAATATGTCAGCATATATATTCTTAAGTCTTTTACTGTAACTTCCATAGTTCAGATCCGATATGTGATGATGGTAGTCTAGAAAATAAATCATACAGGATATCAATAATCACAGTGTATTTTAGCACTAGATAGGGTGCGATTAACTGCTTATGGTGATTAAGATAGAATTGATAAGTGTGACCCTACCTGATGTTGACCTGCTGTATGAGTTTGGCTCCTGATGCACATTGTTATCATTGCTGCAAACGCCCTGGTCCAGTCGATTATCTCGCAGGGAGCAACAATACCTGAGACCACACGATCCGCAACATAAAGTGGCTTCCCGGTTATCGTATCTCTCGGGACATTGGAACCCCGAGTGCCAGCTCCCGTTACTGTCAGACCAGCCGTGGCAGTACTCTCCCGAAGCGGCGTGAACACTGAGCAGCCAGTTAGTGAAGAAAAGGAGCAGTGTACCAAACTGAGCAGTCCCCATGGCAAGCACAAGCACAAGAAGGACTGCGGGTTTCAACAATTAAATTATAAAAAAAGCAGATCGATTTTAAAGGAGGTTAAAAAAAAAGACCTGGGCGCGTTGTTAATACTCCAGCTTTCTCAAGCGGTTTCTATCTTCTCTCTCCTCAGATATATATGCTGAATTTCAAACTGTGGACAATGCAGGGCGGAGTGCAGGAGTGTTAATTTCTCTGTTAAATGGCTCTATTCATGGCGCTCATCTTCTCAACTTCTAACCGGGGTTTCAGAGAAATTTCCATCAATAAGCAAGTCTTTTCATTAGAAACAATGGCGGGGAGCCTTTTTCTTAAAATTTCATAAAATACAAATTAAAATCGGTGCCGTGCAGTTTTCAAACACAAGTATAACATTACTAACCTTGCATTCCCTTTTGACTCAGTCTGCTGTTGGAAAAATTCTTTTTTTCACTTAAATTCTGGCAAGTGCATCCCTATAGGCTGAGCTTTCTCCACCAATCCTGATTGAAAACACCAACAAAGTCACGCCTTTAAGGATATATTGTCCGCCTCTTCGCTGAGACTCGGTTAGATAGATAGAAAGATAGCGCATCTTATATCGTGATTGTAATTTGTTATATATAATGTTTGACGAAGCAGATCAAAATAATAGTGATAAACTGTAATAGTATAGAGGTGTTCAGTTTAAAAGCTGGTACAACTTTATTCCGAGAAGATACGAAAGGTTACTTTTCAAAAATTAGGAAGTCGATGTGGTTAAGTTTAAAGTCGGTCCGGTATTTGAGGTAAAGATCAAGGGGAAAAATGGAGTTTTAAATGGAGCAGAGCTGAGAAACGATTAAAGCGAAATCTTTGCGATTTGTTCATCGTGTAACGAGCAATGAAATCCGGCCGTGCAAATGAACAGTTTCCGAATGTAAATTAAGTTCCTTAGCTTCCTGACTAACTGAAGATTAACCTATTCAAAATGAACTGGTTGAATTAAAAAAAAAGTGTTGGAGGAACTCAGCAAGCCAAGCAGCATCTGAGCAGAAAGAAAGAGTCAAAGGACAGGATTTTCCCAATCCTTGCACTATGTAGGCAATAGCAATAAATGTGGGAGAATGCCGGGAGAAGTTCGACGAGGAGTTCCTACAGGGAGAACAAAATGTCCCATTTTCCAATAGTGTTGAGTCGGGAGCTAAGGGACAGAGGCCTGTTTGTATTTTGACATCCCTTTGATTTGCAGTTTTCCATTCTCCCACCCAGGATAGAAACTCCATGGTGACAATTCCCAACATGAAAATCAAAGTGTCTTCAGCTTGCTTCTCCAGCCTTCCCTAGTAATCCAGATCTCAGGTCTCCATTACCAGTGACCACATGTAATCTTGCCCTACACCCATCAACCAGGACCTCCAGGTCCCTGTTGCCAAAGTGGAATGGCAATTTTCTCTGCTGAACATGCCTTGGGCAATTGACAAGAACAGTGCAAGGCAGTTGAGGACTGCCAGTATTTGACCGGGTGAATGTTGGACTTTAAAGATGGTATCACTGCCAGGAATCCCAGGAGTAGGTGTACCAGCAGTGACCAGTCATTTCACCTGTGGCAAGTGAGAGAATAGGATGACTGGGCTCCACAGGGGCACGGTGGATAGGTAACCAAGTGAGATGGGGAAGATAGTGTGGGAAAACCAATTAGGACTTGTGGAGAAAACCCTTCAGTAAATTTGTCAAAATTACCACATTGCAGATTTCTGCTAAAATTCAACCTAACATTTGAAATCTTCTGGACAATTCTGAAGCTCTCTCCACAGATACTGCCAGACCTGCTGAGTTTCTCCAGCACTGTCCATTATTATTTCATTCCTGTGACATCTGCAGTACTTGTTCTTATTTGAGTGGCTTAAATAACTAGTTATCAAAAGAAATTTATGTAATTGTATAGAAGAATTATACACTAATATTTATGGAGCTTTGACGTGTATTTGTTTTCTTTCCGCTCGGGAAGGTATTCAGTTTTGCTGGGGAACTGTTTCATGGACACCAATTACTCCATGATGGCTGATCCTAAAAGCTATTACTTGTGCATGGAGAGATGTCACAGAAATTGGATTGGAGAGTTTAATTTTGAATGCTGGTGCGCATACCAGTGGACCTCCTTTGTCCTCTGTTCTGTGCCTTTATAAATGGTAGGCCTGACAACTGGCACATCTAAAATTCAATGTTTTCTGCTGTCCTTGGATAGAATCAAACCCTGGAGAATCCTGCCAGAGGCAGGTTGCTAATTAGGCCTCAACGCACCAACTGGGGAGAAGTTCCTTAAGCCACCAGACATTGGATGGATCCTCACTATGGCTTGGACAAATAGATAAGAGAAAGAGGCCTCTTGCAGACAGACCACTAGGCCATTGAGAGCTCCTCTCAATTCTCTGTGGCTATAAGTGTGCTGAGTGGAGGAGCAAGTGGGCAACGGTGGGTTGGGGGTGGGGGGGGAGGTCTCCCCTCCTCAATGGTGACCTGACAACTATAGCCATTCTTTACAGTTAATGGGCACACATTCCTTTCTATCTGTTACGAGTGCCACCAGCTTCAGGAACATAGGAGTAATGAGCAGAAGTAGCCCATTTGGCTCTTCAAGCCTGCACCACCATTCAATAAGATCATGGTTGATTTACTTGTTATGAATTCCACATTCCCATCTGTGCCTGAGAACTTTTGATTTCCTTGCCCATCAAAAATCCATCCACTTCTGCCTTCAAAATATTCAATCACCTTACCTTCAGTGCCTTCTGGGGTAGAGAATGCTAAAGTTGCACAACTGAGAGAAAAAAAATCTCAACTGTATCCTACAAGGACAACCCATAATTTTAAAACACTGTCCCTTAATTCAGGATTTCCACACAACAGAAAACATTCATTCTATGACCACCTGGTGAAGACCATTTAGGACCTAATGAACGTGAAACAAATCACCCCTGTCTCTTCTAAACTCTGGTGAAAACAAACTAAGTCTGTCCAATCATACCTAGTAATACAATTAGCTCATTCCAGACATTAATCTGAACTGCCTCAAATGCTTTTATATCACTCCTAACACAAGGAGAGCAAAACTGCACACAACATTTGAGATATGGTCTCAATTGAAGCAAACATCTTTAACTCATGATTTTCTGCCTGCCTTGGCAGTACCACATTTTTCTGTGGGGCAAATGGTGGCCCAGAGTTCTAGGCCCTTTGAATGGCCCACTAGCCTCACAAATTCAACATTAAGACCCACTGCATTGTGGTTGGCTTCTAAGTATCCTCTGATTAGCCTAACTAGCTGCACAGTTACATTCAAGAGGATGGCTCACCACCAATGTTTCTTCTAATTTCTCTTTACTGTGTTTGGCTAGTTTGTTCTCCCTGTATCTGCAAGGGTTTCCACCACGTGCTCAGGTTTCCTCCCATAGCCCAAAGATATGCAGGTTAGGTGGATTGGCTTTGCTAAATTGCCCCTTAGTGCCCAGGGATATGCAGGCTTGGTGGATTAGCCAGGGTAAATGCAGGATTACAGAGATAGATTGCAAGGCTGAGTCTGGGTGAGATGCTCTTTGGACGGTCGGTGCAGACTCAATGGGCTGAATGGGCTTTTTCTGCTCTGTAGGGATTCTATGATTCTATACATTGTCCCCTTAAGATTATGTGGCCTCTTAAAGAGAATGTTGCTTGTATGCAGCCTGCCTGATCTATGTGCAGGGCATTATTCCAATTGTACATAGCTTAAAGTGAACACTGCTCATTCAGTTGCAGATGGCTAACAAATGCACTCCATGCCAACGACACCCATATCTAATGATTCAATACAAAAAATGAGTAGGCTATCAAAACACGAGGTTCATACGAAAACAATGATCACCTGGGGTGATATATCAAACGTTAGCAATATTTGGAGATTTACATCAGCATAAATTTGTGCATTAAATTTTACATCAATGCTTCCTTTCTGTTTTCAAAATTTGACCTACTTTTCTTATCATTTTATTACACTCTGTGTGAAATAGTTCCTGGTACATATTCCTAATTTTTGAAATGGATGTTGTGTATATAAGTAACAGTGTGATGGTGGAATCTAGCTACCAGGTTTCTACCAATTATTCGTAATGTGTTTTGAAGTATTCTTTCAACTAATTTCTTCTCTGTGATTGAAATGACTAATATTCAGCACAAGAGTTTAAACTTTAAACAATATTGAAATATTCCAAAGCTTGCAAATTTTACAGCATGGAGGTTTAAAATTCGTATGAAATGATCCTGGCATATACAGATTGTGTGTGCTGGTATTCTCTGGTGCTGAGGGCACCAGTAATTTTAGGTGTAATGAAAGTGGATTCTTTTTGCCTAAGGCAGTATACATCAATTTTCATAGAGATGCTGAAATCCCAAATTATCTGGGCAAGTAACCAGCCCCTGCTCCCATTCCAGTTGAAGTCCTGGATGTTGGAAGGTTAATATGAAAAAAAGCGCAAAAAAATTTTCCCTCTTTTGAGGAGGTCCCGGTCACCTCTCTGTCCTTGACCCTATCTGCCCTCTGATGGAACAAACTTCGATCTTCCTGGAGGTTTCTATGCCTCATCAGTCCCCTCAGTCCTAGGCTGGGTCTAGTATTGGCTCGAAAAGCAGGAACTCTTAATGAAATGACTTCCTGCACCTCATTACCTTTGCAATGGCTAAACCTGTAAAGACCAGTAGAAACTCTATTTCTCACAACACCAAGTGGTATGGGTATTCCCAAAAACCTTGGCTTGGACTTGTAATTCTTGCCTTGATCTATATTTGTGTAGTTTGATTTTATGTGCTGTTCTTTCATTCCCAGAATATATTAGTATCATTCAGTCAATTGGACTGATGAAATATTTCGAGTTTCAACAGTTTCTGTATGAACATTTTTCAAACTTATGTGAGGAAGAGGTGAGATCAGATTTATTTATTTCTTTAGTTAGGTAGAATGCATGTTGAGTGATTATACATGGTGCAGTTGGTGGGGGTGGTTTCTGATGAAAGCTTGATCTGAAATGTTAATTCCATTTCTGTCTCCACAAATGCTGCTTCAGATGCTGAATCTTTCCAGCAATTTCTGTTTTTATTTCAGATTTCCGAGATCCATTCTAATTTTCTTTGGTGATGTGGAGTCGGAGAACCTTTCCTCATTGTAATTTAGTTCACTATTTAAAAAAATATATATTTTAAAGGTAACTCTTCAATGACCTCATTTGGTATTATGTGTTTGCATGGTGGTAAATTTTAATTTAAGGATTTTAATGTGAACATATATTAGGCACAGAATGGCATGGAAACATAAAAACATCCAGTGTGTCTTTCATCTATTTTCTATGTCCAAATATCAAAGAGAATTGAATTTTGAAAGTTTGAATTATTATGTCTAATGCTT